TGTGCACTCAGAAAACCGTATATCAGAAGTTTAAACTCATATGGTTTAAAACTCATGATTTCAGCGCGATAAACATGATAATCAGAACCAAAACAGATGTTTTTAGCAGATACCAGCTGTAAAGGCCCAGCTCTATTCTGGAAAAGGAGGCAGGGAGCAGCAGCTCATTTGCATTTAAAGACACAGGCCCAAAAAACAGCGTGTTTCTGCTTCCACTCAAAATAGGCATTTTCAAAATGATATAATAAATGATCTGTGGAGTATTTTGAGCTGAAACTTCACAGACACATTCTGGGGACACCAGAGACTTATATTACATATTGCAAAAAGGGGCATACTATGTCACCTTTAAAGCATTTCAACTGCTGAGTAGTCAAGTCCCAATAGACAAACATTTCTCAACTCAACATGAGACAAATACCCCAAACCCTATTGATTTTTACGTAATGCATACAAGTTGGGGTTTTCTGGTCAGCAGTGTTTTCCACGTCAATCATACACAAACACACTCAAGAAATGGGGTGACTACTTTTCTTTACAAATCTTATCCAGTTCATATAATATTTTGTTTGCTTGGCTGGTATTGTATCTATAAATTGTCCAACCAAGACAACATAATGTCTCAAAATGAATTCAAAGCATCCCAATGGGCGATATTACACTGACTCAGGCACAAGCTTTATCAGACAGATGGTTGATGATTGCCAACAAAACTGACACAGGGTTTTCTGACAGACAGGAGTTTCCTAGAGTTCATCGGGTCACATACTGCCAGTAAATTCATGTATTTTCCAGACCGCCCAGCTGTGTGTCTGTCTAAGTCAACTTGCCCTCTCCAGGTCTGTTGTGATTGGCTGACTGCTGTCACCCTTCATCATTTAAAGAGGTGAAGCATCTGCTCCATTTTGATAGTCAAATCCCAGGGATCCAAAATGAAGGGGCTGCAGTGGATGCTGCTCGGGGTTTTGTGTTGTGCTGGAATCGTGTCTTCTATCACAAGGGAATATTTTTTGGCCATTAAAGAGATTCAGTGGGATTATGCTCCTAGTGGTATAAATCTGATTCAGAACAAAACCATAAAAGAAGATGAGTGAGTACAAACACTGTACAAAACTGAGTTATGAGTTGCGAGAAATTAGCTTATAACATTTTAGTAAACATTTATTCATTTTAAATGCACTCTAGTTGCTATTTAGAACTGATTATTGTACTTCTTTGGAACTTTAATGACAATTTCACTTGTATATTGCTCCTGCCTATTATTACATTTTTTTTTAATTTGCCATACATTGAAAATGAATGATTTCAACAATGAAGATGAATGAGCTCCAGTTGCTTTGTTTCTGCAGATATTTTAGTTGTCAGTGCGAATGCAGCTTTAGAGTCTGGATCTTCAACAAACCCTTAACCCTAAGTAATAAAGTTATTACTTCAGTGCATGTAAAAACTAAATGGAAAATTATGTTTTGGTGTTTGACAGAGAAGCACGGGTGTTTCTGGAGAGGGGAGAGCAACGGATCGGGCGAGTGTATAAGAAAGCAGTGTACCTGCAATATACTGACGCCACCTACAGGCAGGAGATAGAAAAACCCAAGTGGCTGGGCTACCTCGGACCCCTCATTAGTGCAGAAGAAGATGACGTAGTTATTGTGCACCTGAAGAACATGGCCAAACGAGCGTACTCCATCCATGCACACGGCCTCAGTTACAACAAGTCTAATGAAGGTGATGTCAAATAAGTGTTTGGATTCCTTTGATAACATACTCTTGCTCACAAATTGTTTATCATGGGATTTCTCTCCAGGAGCACTATATCCCGACTCGTCAGAAAAGGTGGAGAAAGCTGATGATTCAGTGGCCCCTGAAAAGTCGTTCACCTATATTTGGACCCTATCAGCTTCCCATACTCCTGGAAAAGATGACACTAACTGCCTGACCAGAATATACCACTCGCATGTTAACGCCCCCAAAGACATCGCCTCAGGTCTCATTGGACCTCTCGTTATATGTAAAAAAGGTACAAACCTTTCTCTTCACTTCAAGGTTCAAATGCCAGGATCTCTCAGTAATGTTGTGGGTTCAAATACAAGCAACTTTAATATGGATATAGGCCTATATTTTATATGTGACGAGTTATTTTCCATCTCATGTCAGTAAACACAGTGATTTTCATATGATACACAAAGAATTTACAGCAGTGACAAATAACTGGAAATTCATCCACTTAAAAATGTAGTTCCACTTCAAATATGATTATTTAGACAGGTTTACACCTTAAATAAACACAAATAAGAATAATTAATGCGAAAAAGAAGAATTCATTAATTAATGCAATAATGTATGGGTTTAAAATAGAAATAGATTTAGAAATAGATTAGTATTTTGCAGACAAGCTTTTCGTTTATGCTTTTAAATCCATAAAGTGCCTGGCCACTGAGGGAAAAAACTGAGGGAGGAGTCAAAAGTTGACTGATTTTTTGTCAATATAGATCTGATATGTGTCAATATTTGTCACTAATAGATCCGAAACTTTCTGTTAAGACTTGAAAAAAGTTGTAAAGAGTACAATAAGTTACGCAATGAGCATTTGAACAATGAGCATTTGAACAGACTTTTCAATCAGGGTTTCAGGAACCTAGCCCATTTAACAAAAAACTTAAGATAAGTCTATGCTAAACATCTGGCTAGCTGCTACAGAAGTGACAATTTGGAATGCAAATGATGACTCAAATGATTATGTACTTTAAAATTATTGATACAAATTCATATAAAAAAGTTGACCGCCATGAAAGTCATTGTATACTGTAATTAACACACTTCAAGCTCTGATATAGTCCACTAACAATGAATGATTCTGTGTTGTTTGTGCAATTCTCAGGCTCTCTAGATGTGCATGGGGACAAGACAGCTGACTATCTTTACGCCCTCATGTTCACGGTGTCTGACGAGAACCTCAGCTGGTACCTGGATGAAAATATCAAGACCTACTGCTCAGCTCCTGCCAAAGTCAACAAGGACGATGAAGGCTTCCAGGAAAGCAATAAAATGCACTGTGAGTTTAGTAATACTGTCCTAGAATAATGTCTCAATGATGAACAGGCCATCAGATCAAACCCTGTTCTAGGCACATTTTATGAATTAGCTAGAATACTAGTATACTGTAGAGTATATCCTACGTACTACTATTTATTAAAAATAGTCTGAAATCTCAACTTCCTTTCTGAACTTTATTGTAGCTATCAACGGATATGTCTACGGCAACCTGCCGGACCTCAGTATGTGCATGGGCAATAAGATCCACTGGCACTTGTTTGGGATGGGGAACGAGGTGGACCTCCACTCAGCCTTCTTCCACGGACAGATCCTGACAGACAAACGGCACCATGTTGACACCGTCAGTCTGTTCCCGGCTACTTTTGTTAATGTAGAGATGGTGGCAGATAATCCCGGCCAGTGGCTCCTCAGCTGCCAGGTCAATGATCATCTGGAAGGTACAGAAAGGCCAGATCTGAGAATATAAATGCAAAAATTCTGCATTGTTATAATTGCTGTGTTGCATTTAATGACATTCTTCCCCACTTTTAGCTGGCATGCAAGCCATTTTTGAGATTAAGAAGTGTTTCCCAAATGTGCATAAACCCAGACCGTTTGGAGAAGTGAGACAGTATTACATTGCCGCTGAGGAAATCATTTGGGATTATGGGCCAACGGGGATAAACCAGTACTCAGGGAAGAAACTTGCTGATGACAGGTACAAATAAGCTATCTGAGAGACATAACACCGTGGAGAAGTGCCGCTTCTGGAACCGTCAGTCTGAGACGATGCTACACCAGAAGAAGTATTACATCGCTGCAGTTGAGATGGACTGGGACTATTCACCCACCCGCACATGGGAGGAACAGATGTACCATAGTCTGAAAGACAGGTATTCCAAGTCCTTCACCAGAACTCATGAATCCCATTTGTAAAAATACACGAAGATCACCAGTGGTAGTTTGCATTATTGATGCCAAACGTGGTTTATATGCCAAGCATCAACTTACAGATGTGGATGAGATTTGAGATTTATGGTGAAAGGCAAGATTATCAGCGAATAAATGCATCGGTGACACCAAACCCTGGTTTCAATGGTTCTTGAGTGAGTTGTGACATAATGTGTCCAACTAAGTTTTAAGTGTAGCTTAGTTTGTTGTGTAGTGTAGTTTTGGTCTAAATTCAATATACACAGACTATTCAGGTAATATCTATGAAAAGAGAATTGGTGTGTGTGTGTGTGTGTGTGTGTTTGTGTTTGTATTACACGCAAGTTCTAAATCGTATTTATTTTGATAAATTCAGTCCAGGCAATGAATTCCTCAAAAAAGAAGGCAAATTCATTGGTTCAAAATATAAGAAGGTGCTGTACAGAGAGTACACTGATGACACCTTTACCAAACCCAAGGAAAGATCTGCTGATATGGAACACTTGGGAATTATGGGTACATATTTATAAAATATGCTGTACATTGATGGTTGACTATAATTTGGTGTATATGTTTGTTAACCTTCAAAATATGCTCATCTCAGGACCCATGATCCACGGTAAAGTGGGAGAAAAAGTGAAGATTGTGTTTAAGAACATGGCTAAGAGGCCGTACTCCATACACGCCCATGGCGTTAAAACTGACAGTCCTCAGGTGGCCCTGACACGTCCAGGTAAGATCTGACAGTTGAATATTAGACAGTTCATATTGTTTATTAAGTCTAAATGCATGTATTGTTTACTCAAGGTGAAACTCAGACCTATACCTGGTACCTCCCAAAGAATTCTGGGCCGACAGAAGAGCAGGAGGAATGCAGTGTTGGAGTGTATTACTCCACCGTAGATGTTATCAAGGTACCTTTCTCACCAAGTGAAACTAGATCATGGGACCTTGCTCAAAACAAGTGTGATGTTTCCTAAAACCTAATGATCTTGCTTTCCGTCTTATGGCAATTCATAGCTATTTTACCTTTTGGCAAATTTATATAAATTCATATTATCTCATTTGTACATTTTCATCTTATATGTAGGGTATGGCACTTGAGTGGTTCAAATTCTTTCTTTTTAATAGGACGTTTTCAGTCCATTTTGGTCAACATTACTCTAAAACGGCCCCATTGTCTAGTGGAGTTCCACAAGGATCCATTCTCGGCCCAGTCTTGTTTTCATTATATATGTTACCCTTAGGTTCTATATTAAAATTGAAAGTGCATTTACTTGAATTAGAGTTTGGTTCTGCAGACTAATTAGCAAGAGGCTTTTTTATAAGATTTGTTGTTGTTGGTCATTGTTTGTCTGAAAGTTAATACTGTGTCATTTTTATTCAACAAAAATTTAGAGAAAACAAACAAACCATGGCTTTACTACAACTAAAACCAAAATAACATGGTTACTACAGTTAAACCATGGTAACCACAAATTAATCATGGGTTTGCTACACTAACCATAGATTAACCATGGTATTTGTAGTAAATCTGTGGTTATACAAATGGTAATCAATGTGCCAAAAAACTTTTTTTTATTTGATGGGGTTGTGTGTAGTATCCTGAAATTAAAACTCTGCCTTCGAAGTGCAAAGGAGACTTCAGTCACAGTTGTTTTCAACAGAGTTTGACGTTAGCATATTGCTAAGCTAAAAGCATGATAGCTGAGAGTACACAAAATATAAAACGGGCCAGTTTAAATGAACTGAATGCATTTGTTTTACTTTTTTCGGTAGTATATGAAATGTAGTTCATCAACATTTCTCTTGACTCGTCCACCATTTTGGATAATTTATTTTCATTGAAATGCATTCAGTGCAAATGTGACGCTGACTTAGAATTTGGTCCAAAGAAGGTGTCTTAGAAGGCAACACACATATCTGTAGAAGTTTTGGAAAGCAGCCAGAGTCTATCTGATTGTCTTCTCATTCAGGACATGTACAGTGGCTTGATCGGTCCGCTGGTCATCTGCAAGAAGAGCCTGGCACGTACACTGGGGCTGAAGAAAGAGATAGAGGAGTTCGCTCTGCTCTTCGTGGTCTTTGATGAGAATGAATCTTGGTATCTGGATGACAACATAAAAGCTCATGTTAAAAACCCTCCCAATGCACTTAAGGAGGATGAAGAGTTTATCGAAAGCAACAAGATGCATGGTGAGTTCAATGTCTCTGGGCTGCATAGTTTTGGTCATGGTTTTTGAGGACAAGGACATGTCAGACAGTTAGTAAGACTGCATTTTAATTCTCAAATAATTGAGAACTTCTCATAGAGTGGTTCTAGCACTTTTAGTACTGTTAAACACACCCTGTAAAATGTCCTTTCTTAATTAAAATATCATTGCCTCAGCATTAAAATATAAGCAACATTCCTGTTATTATTATTCACCAAAAGCTCTAGTGTAAAATGGCCAAAATGTTAAGATAGGCCTGATGTGTTGATGATAAACTAGTGGTTATTCCGTTATTCATCACAGGAATCAATGGTTTAGTCTACGGCAATCTTAAAGGCCTGAACATGAAGGTTGGAGATAAAGTGTACTGGTATCTGATGGGAATGGGAAACGAGGTGGACATACACACTGCACACTTCCACGGCCATAGCTTTGACTACAAGGTCATCCATCCATCCCACTCACATTTTCACACATGTAAAAAAATCTTCTAGAGCATCAGTGTGATGACCATGGGCTTTTCCCGCAGGTCAGCGGCACACATCGAGCAGACGTGTTTGATCTGTTCCCCGGGACGTTCCAGACAGTCACCATGCGTCCGCTGTATTCTGGCACCTGGCTCCTACATTGTCACGTCACCGACCACATCCAGGCCGGAATGGAGACCACATACACCGTAGTCGAGAAAGATGGTGAGTTGCCACGTTTATGAGATTTAGTAATTGGATGTACAAGAAAGAATAACATGTTTTACTACCCTGTTATGCAAAGCTTACACTCCAGCTCTTTAATACATAAAGTGAGAGCGGGGCATGTTGTCACATGCAAGCCCAGTTACACAAATGTTTGTTTCGTGATTTATTAAATGGGCATACTTTACCAACTACACAAACTAAATAATGTAATTTTCTTTATTTTTTTAGGAAAAAGGAGGGGCTTCCTGGGTTTGTTTGGTAGTGGTTGAAATTCCATATGCCTGTAAAAGGAAGTTTGTGTTAATTCTTGCCCATGATTTTTCTAAATAAACACTTGTAGTTATTTGAATTACTTGGTGTTTGCGAAAGAGCAGAAAAACAGTCCTGTCTTGCTTAAAAATACTACTGAAATCAACATGGCATTCAAAATTATTTTACTTCATAACCTTCACCATCTAATCAAATTAAAGAAGTCTTTTTTTTCTTTTTTGCACAATAAGATCAGGAAAGAAGACATTAAATAGGGTTGACTCAGTAAGAAAATAGTAAAAGAAAGACATGAATTTTGTTACTGTAGCTTTAAAATATAACAAATATACACAGTATACGATAATGTTTACAAAACGAGCTACACATAAGATTCTGTATTTGAATATAATTTAATAAAAAAACTAAAAAGGACACTTTATAATGTTCATTCTGAGAAATCAGATGAAATGAGATGACAGCTGCATTATGGGTAATGTGCACACAAATATTTGACAAACATTCAAACAAAAACAGTACAAGCCTAACAATCGAAAAATAGATCAAAATCATTTATATATATATATATATATATATATCAGAATGTATTTTGTAGGCTGTATTTGTCAGAATATATTTTGTAGTTTATATTTGTTCTGATAATAAGGAGAGTACTTTTTTGTTTTTTGTTTTTTTAAGTAAACTTATAACATTCCAGACTATATTAATGATTGTAACACGTACTTCTGATCAGTTCATGCTCACTATTCAACTATTTTTTTGACTATCACTATTCTAAGCAGCAGTAGTGTTGATTCACTGATTGTCTAAAATAAATGCTAAATATCATGAGATTTCATTGGCTGCGTTCGAGTAGATGTGGCAGGAAGAAACGAGCCGTTCCATCATCCGGCAGCGAGTCCAGGAACTCCTTGAAACAACCAGAGTTTCTGTGAAAGAAAAAAGACAACGTTTCCACGAGCAGCCAAATTCATCCAGTTGTGTTCTGACATACAGAAGCATAAAACGACTGCTACCTTTGAGCGCTGAGAGGAGGATGGTGTTGTCATTTCCTGTTGCTCTTGTCCTGTCCCAGACCTCAGGGAAAAGCTTCTGCCACCACAGAGACTGGAGAGAGAGCGGCCGGCGAAGAGAAACGATTAACAGAGACACCATTTATTGTGTCACGTCACCTCTGATTCCAAACCCTTCCAAAGATTTGCATTTATGTTAGGACATTGAGAATGCAGTGCACAAATTGAGCATGTGTAGCTAGAAGCCTTATGCCTTATCACTGGAGCGGTTAAGTGTATTACCAGTTTGTCGTTCTATAGCTCATGGTTGGTGTAGCTGATGATGGCCTGCAGACATCGGTCTAGGAGTCTGTCGATGGATGTCTCGTGTTTGGTGGCACAGAGCACCAAAGCTAAATTAGGCATAAAGATAGTCTGCATTTTCTTATTTAGATGTGTCTGCCAAGGCAAAAATAAATATTGCTTGTAGATACACACTATATACTGCCAAAAGTATTGGGACACCCCCTTCTAATGAACAGGGTTGACTACTTTAGTAATTTCCATGAGTGCAAATCTGAATGTTTAAGCATATAATGATATTCTAGGGAATATCCAATTTTACAGCAACAGTTTGGACAGGACCCTTTTTTAACATGACAATGCCTCTGTGTATAAGGCAAGGTTCAAAAAGTAATGATTGACTCAGTCAGTGTGGAAGAACTTGGGTAAATACAGAGCACAAATTCTGAGTATGGGTCACCATACTTGGCTACACGTCATGTCACTTTCACTTTTTATATAGATTCTGTCATATTTCTCACTGTAAAGTTTGACTTGACTAGACTTAACTAAAATCTAGCAACCCCCTTAAACCCCCCAGAATGTCCTAGTGTCCTGTGAGGTTTTCAATGGTTTAGATGCCATGGACCCCTAAGTACAAATATTATTTAGAAATATCTGAGGGTATATATTGTCATGTATAAAGTCAAAATGTATACTGTCAAAAAATAATATTATAAATGTGCAAAACATTAGTTGAAAAATATTTAATTATGTGTATTATTTAATTGAATCATATTTAATTACACTATTACATTTTTTTCTACTCACTAGTACTGTTTTTCTACATTACGTAGTGTTGTAAGATATATAATTTAAATCACTTATTATTTATGTATTATTTTGATCAAATGCTTTATTTTAGTCCCTTTTTATTATCTATTAATTTTTACATTTGTTTCATGATTTTTCTCTAAACTTTTCAACAGACCCCCCAGCAATCAGTTGCTGCCCCCTGGTGGTCACTGGACCCCAGTTAGAAACCCCTGCCCTAGCAAACACCCACAACACTCCAGTAATCACCTAGAAACAAGCACTCTCAACACCTGCTGTGTTAGGGTGCATTATCTCGCTCAGCAGTTTTGAGGGCTTTGACGCCGGAGCAATCTCTGCGCATGATACGGTCGATATAGACGGACGTGAGACGAAACAGCAGCTCCTGGATGATGGATTCATGAGTGGATACTACTAACAGAGCCTCCCAGAAATCCACCAGACTGCTGTCAGCCTCCACGCCATCCTTACACAGCTCCTGAGAGAGAATAGTAGTTATTTATTGTATTGCCAAGTCAGCATCTAAGGCTAGTTACATAAACACTAAATAAAGTTTTTTTTTTTTAAATTAACATTATAATAAAAATCTAAAACCTTTTCTGGTAAAAAAAAAACAAAAAACAAAAAAAGTGTATGGAAGCCCATTTCCACCACTGCAAAAAAATACTGACTCGTAGTGTCAGTGTATATTATATTACACTGTATATAAACAGTATATATATGCTGCTTTAAAAGCAAAGCATGCTCAATCACACCAAATGTTGATTTCATTTAGTTAATAGAAGTTAAAGGGGTCATATGATGCTGCTAAAAAGAACATTATTTTGTGTATTTGGTGTAATGAAATGTGTTTATGCGGTTTAAAGTTCAAAAAACACATTATTTTCCACATACTGTACATTATTGTTTCTTCTCTATGCCCCGCCTTTTTGAAACGCGTCGATTTTTACAAAACTCATCGGTCTGAAAAAGCGAGGTGTGCTGTGATTGGCTAGCTATTCAGTGCGTTGTGATTGGCCGAATACCTCAAGCGTGAGACGGAAATGTTACGCCCCTCACATACTGTTGATGCCGTGTCCAGCCGGAGCGACGAGGCATAAACATTAAAACCCATTACAAACTAGGCATTTGTTGCATCCAGTGGGGACATAATTACTGATTATAATGACTTATACTGTCTTTTTACGCGTTGCGTTGCATTGCGCCGCGTAAACATAAAACTCTGTCTGCATTTGTGATCGGAGAAATGACAAACAACAAGTGCTACTCTACTGCCCAAAACTCGCGTTTGAATCATCAGTGGCAACGAAAAACACAGCGGCCTAGCGTGAGGGGAAGCCCTGGCTTAGCGTGCACTGAGGCCGGGATAGAGTGAGCTGAGGCGGCGGGGTCGAGAACGGCGCGCCCGGGCTGAACTCCGCTTCGTCCACGTTGAAAGTTGATGTATTCCCTCAGCGACCAGCACAGATCAGCTCTGGGCATGACGAAGCGGATATCGTCCTCTTTTGGAAGACCAAACAAAGTAGTTTCGCTTTCACAACGAAGCACACAGCGTCTTCAGGACATGGCTGCAGCGTCAACAATATTACAGCGAGAATTAAAGTTACGCCTTCTTTCTTTGCGTGAACATTTGGGCGGCGTTATGCAAATCTTCCCAGATCGTGACGTAGGTATGTGGGGGCGTGTTAGAACGAGCCGTTTTAGGTAGGCGTGGTTAACTCTTAACTTTTATAAAGAATATCTCTTTGGTTTTGAGACTTTAGTGTTTGCAACTTTACAGATCTTCTTTATGCATATTAAGAGCTTGTAACACTCCAAAGAGAAAGGAAACATTTAAATCGCATCATATGACCCCTTTAATTGATAAAGGAAATCTATTTATGACATTATTATAATTTTTACACAAGTGCCTAAAGCTTAACAGCACTGTAGCTTTGCAGGAAGGTTTCTTGAAGCATCTTGGGGACGTCTCCACAGTTCTTCTGGATTGAGTCTGTCTCAGTTTGTTCTGTTTCTTGATGTCAATACAGACAGACCACCATTTTATACTCCAAAGCTTGATGTTTCGGAGCTGCGACTGACCCACGGCGCTGTGGTGGACGAGGAGCACGGAGCCCATGCAACTGAAGCGGCAGATGTACGCCTCGACCTTACAGCCGCCGGTGGAGTGCAGAATTCTGACCCCCGCCAGATTATTACCCACCTAGTATTGGTAGGTTTAGAGTTAGGTGTGGGGGAGGGGTTAGGATTAGGGGTGGGGTTGGGATTAGGCAATCAGGTAGCAATTTCAACGAGGGGGGGAATAATTTGGCAGGGAGTCGAAAATGGGCACAACACCGGCGCTCACCACGAACAGCGCCCTGCAGCCGCAGCACACCAGCGCTATGGCGTTCCGATGGGATCTTTAATATGACATTGTAACATGCACTCAATGTCTCAATGAAAGTGACGTCTGCGTCTGTCGAACGTGACATCTGTGTCTGTCGAACGCGACGTCTGCATCTGCCACATTAC